GGCCGGATCATTTCCGAGGTCGCGAGGGATACATTTCGGAATACCACCCGCGGATCGCCAGGGACAAGTGGCAGCAGATCATTAATCATATGGCTTGTTATTGCTACTTTTTCTTTCAACTGTTACGCAATGGTTTGGTTAAATAAAAGACTGTTGCTTCAAATTTTAATTATAATATTTTTTAATTTATTTCTTAAAATAGTTTGTTTTTTCATAAATTTACTTTTCAATTATTGCTCTTTTGCGACTTACAAAAATAGTCTAGATTTTGTTCATTATTTACTTGTGTTTTGTTGTGATTGCAAGCAGAATGAGGGCCACCACAATTTTCTGTTACTGTTTTTGTTTGTTTGTTTTCTGTTTGCTTGCTCGGCATGTATGTTCTGTAATGCTCAAAGGAAGGTTTGAAACAATCTCTAATTCACCATAGTATTGCTTGTAACATAAAAATGAAGGATTTTTTCTCCTGGGAACTTAGTCTCTTCGGATGACGGCTATAATAAAATAATGAAAACTATTTATCAATAAATTATCACACTTTTCTTGTTTAGTTTTAGCATTATAATTAAAGTCATACTCTGATTCATCTGATTGATTGCTGCTATCTCTTAACTACAATATATTCCTGCGATTAGTTGCTTGCTTTTCTTTATTTTTGTTTGACTTATCACGCTGAAAATTCAGATCACTGAATGGAAAACGAAACTACATTAACTATAACAGAAGATTCTGAGGAGGAGATGGTCGCGAAATCAAGAAAGGTAAAAGGAAAACATGCGTGAGTAAGAACAAAATAAATAACTTAGCGCAGCTGGTGAACTTATGAGGGAAGAGATTAGGTTTAAAATAAATCGTTCATAACTCTAGATCATTTCCATGGTTGTGGCACTCGCTTTGAGCGAGCTTTTCTTGTTTTGTTATGTTTTGCGGGCCTTTCGAGTTGTGTTGCCGGTTGCACACTGTAACCTAATAGAGATTGATGTGTTTTTTGTTTGTTTTGTTGTTGTTGAATTGCGATTTTGCTTTTGTCGTTTAAAAATGAATCAATTCTACTGTAGTACTTGCTTTTGTGTGAGTGAGTTTAAATGGTTGATAAATTCATAATTTGTATGATGTTTTGCTTTTGTTTAGTTTTATCTATTCAATGAAGTTTGTATCGTTTTTTTTAGAAAAAAAAAAGATTAAACGCCAATAGTTTATCTTTCAATGTGCTTTCAACCTCTTCTCTTTATTTTTAAAATTAGAAGCTATAATAACTATACATAATGTACACTATTTTTTATGCGACTCGCATTTCCGAATTCATTTGTTTTCGATTCTAGGATGAGCATGGATTCGAGCTGTAGATAGCATAACGAAGATGTAGATTAAAGTAAAATACCCTGCTTTTCTTTGAAAGTTACCTTTAGGCATGATTCCTTCTGCCGCAAACATGCCAAAAGAGATATAGATTGGATTAGGATTATGATTTTAGGTCATCGAAATAACACAGGTACATGGACAAAAATCTCTCAAAATTCTTCAATGACTTGTATCAATGCGAAGAATGCATGAATTGACCGATTCTCTTAGTTGAGTTTCTCTTTGTATCTCTACGACCTTGCGAGTTGGACAAACAGTCTAGGGCATGAATAGTTTTTTTGAGAGGTTTTAGACCCCCCCCCCCCTCCACGTGGATATAAATATAAATTAAAACAAAAGCAAGGACCGTAGACATTTACCAACCCCCTTCACCTCTATTACTGTCCGTGTAGTATGAAGACCGGAGGTTGAAACAGAATTTTTTTACTCCTTTCCTTTGTAAATGGCTGGAAAATGCTTGCAATTAGTACTTCGCATACCTGCAGGTATAAAATAGACCCCAATTTGTGGTCCTTAGCCTCTTGTTCTATAACTCCTTTTCCCTTCCTTACCAGGGTGTCGGCTGGGGTACGAGTATATGGAAAGACCGGGTAGCTAACCCCGGTGCAATCTTGGTCGTATGTTGATAGGGAAGGGTGGCTCCCTTCTTGGGAGGGTGCAGTCTAACCGAGCGTCTGTTCACCATGTTAGGAGTGGCTGATCATCGTCCTCGTACTAGCGTGGGACAGTGCTGTGTACGTTGGTCCTCTGGCCCTAGAAGCCAGCCGTAAAAAAACAACAGTACAGCAAGCTAACAATGTAAATAAGGTGCGGAACAATCGGCATAAATCCTGGGAATAAATACGGACTATCGATTGTATACTCGCAACAGCGAACTATAAATTTCTTAATTTCTAGGGGAGTCACCGCATTCTTCATGACTTATTGAGGGTCCGCAAGTTGGACAATGTAACGCTGCTGGAGGTTTGCTGGAAGCGATCGTCAGTACATACGCACAGGTTATATCATCTACCAGAGCTGCTTCAATACACATGAGCTAGGTACAGCATTGATAGTGATGGGCGTAATGCAAAGACACATGATTGGGTGACGATCAAAGGCCGTTTGTTCAACGTAAAAGTGTGCCAAAGACATTCCGTTGTCACCAACATTTGGTACCGAAACCCACCATGATACAATCTGGAACGACTTTAGTTATCATATCGATGTCATAACTGTTTACGCGCAAAACCTCAAAGCAGCGTTTCCGGATGAGGTAGCGCTGACCCAAGCTCCTCTTGACGACTGCTGCGGTAGTATCAAAGAGGTCATCAACAACACAGTAGAAGGTGCCATTGGGTGGAGAAGAATCGACGTAACGATTGATTCGACGAGGAGTATCACATGGTTTTACACGAGAAGAATGCTGCGCGGGCGAGGAAAATGCTGCAACAAGGAACTCGTTAATATGTGGAACAATCCAAACGTAAGCGAAGACAGTAAACTCATCTTTTCCGGGATAAGAAGCGACGTCTCGAAAAGATGGAGTTCGGAGAAATGGAGCAGCTGTACTTTTCTCTAGAGACTCGTAAGTTCTACAAGAAAATCAACGTATCCTGTAAAAAATGTGGCGGGATAAGAATGGATGTATCTTCCCAAATAAACGTGATCAGCTCTACGATGAACTCCTTAATTTCGTAAAAGCGGAGTAACAAGACAGTAGGAGGAATTGTTTCCGATCCTACCGATAATATCGGTACGGCGGACGAGGGAGACATGTCAACTCCAACGATAAGTGAAGTTAAGAATGCTATCAAACAGCTTAAATACAACAAGGTAGCTGAGAAGGATGATATCGGAGCGGAGCTTATTAAAATGGGCCTGCACCAACTGATAATCAAGTTCTGTGGTACAGAACAGCTAATGGAGGAGTGGAAAGAGGGAGCTATATGCCCAATATACAAAAAGTGTGACAAGTTAGAATGTGAGAACTATTGAGCGATCACTATTCTCAACAAAGTGCTTTCACAGATCATTTTTCGCCATAAGCCGCTTGCAAGTAGATTTATGGAAAGTTATCAAGCCGTTTGATGGACGATCAACAACATACCAAATCATTACGTTGTGGCAGATCTTCCAAAAGTGTCTCGAATATCAAGTACCTACTCATCTACGCTTACGATCCTAGTGATTGTGAAAAGAAGATTATGGACGAGAACGTGTCTCCCAGAAAACTGACCAGACTAAGCAAGTCTACGATAGATGGTGTGCAGTGCTGTGTGAAGATATTAGGTGCTTTATCGGACTCGTTTAAAACACGCAAAAGACTTCGACAAGGCGATGGTCTTTCCTGTCACCTGTTCAACATTGCGCTTGAAGGTGTTTTGAAAGTGCGGTCTTTAACATGCGGTTCATGATCTTCAATAAATTCAGCCAGTTCAACTGCTACGCTGTCGACGTGAACATTTGTCGGAAGAACGTTCCTGGTGGTGACCCATTAGTACACCAGGCTGATACGTCAAGCAGAAAGGGTTGGATTAAAGTTGAATACAGTAATCCCTCCATATACTCGGTGGATGGTACCGTTTTTCTCAGCTGTTCTTCAACCAATTGATTTTCTTTACATAACTAGTTAATGGATAACACTAATAACATATCTACAAAAAACTATTGGTTGAAGGACTACCGAGAAACAGCGGTGGACGGAACCAACCACCGCATATATTGAGGGATTACTGTATGTCAAAGACACCGTATCTGTTGGCTGGAGGAACCGAGGCTGGTATAGGAAGAAGTGAGATAATCGACGGAGATGAGTTTGATGTGGTGGTTGAATTTGTATAACTCGTATCATCAGTGACGTCGGATAACAACTGCAGCAGATAGGGCCTTCTGAAATGTTCACCTACACACTTAGATTTTTTCACCGAGCCCGGCAAAAAAAGTGCCAAGAATCCAACAGCCGAGCCTTTGGCAAACACCTCTTTAAAGCATTGTCGTGAGACTGGCAAAGCAAAATTTATCACAGCTGTGGTGTGATTCCCGGCAGTTTTTTTATATATTTTTTTAATATTTTTGTCAACGACAACCTTCTTTTCAGCTTGGTTACCACTTTCACTTTCCATACGAATTTCGGTAAACTATTATATGTTCAAAATTTTGAATTTAAGTCTATAGATATTAATGCTTGGAAAGTTGACTTTCAGTGTCCTTGAAATTTAATTAGCAAATATCTGCATATTGCAAATATTGCTCTTTATTGCATAGGTATATGTATCACCCCTTTATTACATGGACAAATGTTGCATGCCACAAATAGGATCGGTTCTGGTCTTTGCATATCAGAGGGATGCACATAAAACAGGCACAAGGGTTGCGTGGTTGGTGGTATACAATTGATTAAAGTATCGTATCGTATTGTATTTGTCAAAAATTTTAATTTTCTTTAATTTTCTCTTAGATGTCGATTGATCATAATCCCAAAACTGTATGCATTGCTGCATACCGTAAAATCACAGGTTGAACTATTTAATTTTATGTGATATTACAACTTTAACTACTGAATTAGGGCGCACCTCCATAAGGGGCTGTTCATAAACTACGTAGATCTATTTTTAGAGGATTTATATCCCCCCTCCCCCCCTCACCCGCGTATACAATCGACCATAGATTTTTTTTTGTAAATTTGTATGGACCGTAGACACTTTCCTCCTCAAAAAGTCTACGTGGCTTATAAACAGCCCCTAATTTATTTTTGAAAGTAATCTACAACCGCTCGTCATTTCTTACCTCCAGGAACTATTTCAAGGATTGTGGCAAGTATCATGTTGTGATTTTTCCGTTGAAATATTTTCGAAGTGTATGATTATCATTATGCCAAACCTGAAATCGAAACAAATGAACCTTTCCTGCTGCCAGTTGCGTGAATTCCCAGGATCACTGCCACCAAACGCAGTAATTTCCTTGCTCCCACTGTACAACGAATAAATTTACAATATAGGTTAATCGACTCTTTGGTAAGTTTTGCTTCCATCCATTTCTCCATCGGTTTGGAAACGCAAATGAAATTAAACCTCTCAACTAGTTTCCTTTCTCTCTTTCTCTCTCTCTCTCTCTTTGTGTCTTATTCAGTACGGTCTATTTACAAATATTGTTGCTGCTGCTTGGTACGATCAGTGTGCTGCTCAGCGAGTTTTTAAAATTGATCTGCCTTGTTAAAATAATGCGAAATATGTACTCCTTCTAAGGATTCATTTAACTAACTTTACACAGAAAAGAAGGCAGAGGTTTCCATTGACTGTCCCCTGCCATTGATCGCGCGCACTGACTTCTGGTTTTCGGATTGGCGTCCTTAAAGTTTAAGCATAAATATTTGCACAGTAATTCATCTAGATAACAGGTTCTGCTAACATTGCCCTTCCCGAAACCCTCCCGAAAGCGAACGATCACGGTCCTGCCAATGCGGTCAGGATCGCTGCACAAGAGATTCATATTGCGCTGAAAATCTTGCTGGAACTTATTGCCAACTGTCACATGTCCTGGTCGAGCTTCAAGCTGCTATTGCTGCCAATGTCACTCGCCGGACCATCCAGGAGTCGTCACTGGTCAATGCTGGCGAGTTGTTGCAGTTTGCTGTTTTCCACGTTGCCGTTGATGTTGTGCTGAACCTCCAGGCCGTTAACCATCTTTTCTATACTCTTCAACTCTGACGGCGAGTTGGAAGGCATAGTGGTGACCCTCGATGCTGGCTGGGCAGGTGGTGGGATTGTGGCAGCGGTTGTTCCGGTAGCACCAGTCTCCGCCGATGCAGGAGACATTGGGTTCTGGGTGGGAGTAGGTGACACGGAAATTGGCCTCGTGGGTGGTGAATTTGAAGCAGCTCGTGGATGAGGACTACTGCTCAGACTTCGTGGGCCTCCGGAGTTTGATCCAGGCGTGACGGCGTCGAATGCCGAACCCATGCCGGAACCGGGCAAACTGTATGGCGAAAATCGATGTACTTTCAAACCGTGCAGTGGCGAGGATGGTGAGTGGCCCGAGTAGTGACCGAAAAAGGCTGGGTGTTGTGCTGCTAGGGCAAGTTGAGCATTGAACAGCAAGCTAGGGTTCATCGCTGCCGCTGCGGCTTGATTGTGAAGCAGCGAGAGATGATGCGGAGGGTACAATCCCGGCGGGTAAAGATACGGTAACAAATGTGGAGGTGGATGGATGGGTGGTCCTACCGAGATGTTCGGCGAGGGATATGATGTACCGGCGCTACTCGATGATTCCTTGGGACTGCCCGAGGTCGGACGAAAGGCACCTGTGCTTCCTGAAACGCTATCCGAACAGTTGGAATCACTTCCGTCGCGCTCGTTCTCGTCGGACTGGAGTCGCCTTCGCATGGCTTCCTCTGCCCGTTGCACATCTTCAAAGTTGAACCATCCTAGTGAAATGAAGAGAAAAATAAAATCATCATTAGTACACTTGCCTAATATCTATAGAAATTCAGTTCAAAAGTACCTGCATGATGTTGCATCTGCTGGCTGAGTGAGAGGAGCGGGCTTTGTGGCGGTCCAACAACATCCAGCAGTTTGTCGTCGTCGTCCATTGTTGATATGCTATTCGTTCGGTGGTCCAAACCAGCTGGACCTCGGGAGGAACTGACGGAACTTGGACTTAGTTTGTCACCGTCGGAACTCCGCTGGCCCATGAGCGACTGCCGGAAGGCAGAACAACTGGAAAGAGGAAAAGAGCCACTTGAGAGAAATTTTTAGGAAGTATCATTAAGTGGGTCGAGTTGTGCACATTCCAAAGGGGACCAATTTGTATACGAGTGAAACCCAAAACGAAACCAACAATGTGTCAACAAGCTACAAATCACCAAAAATTATCACCCTTCCCTCTAAGCAGTCTCAAATTAGAACGTAACGCTTGAGTTTCGTCCAAAAAGCCAGTCATTAGAAACTTCACCCTTTGGAGAAGGGTGCTAATGATCGATTTCCCATGCAGATTGCCTTGGGGTGAATGTGATATCTACGCTGCGAGGAGTCTGGGGTGCCCGAGGCGCAACCCTTAAAAATGCTAGAATGGAAAAGGGTGGTGATTCATGCCAGACAAATTGAAATAGTTGTTACAATCTATCTGTCTGGTGTGGCGAGTGGAGAGTTTATGTTCGGTCGATAATTTATGCACCAGTCGGCGAACCGGGACGCATCATGACTCGGCAGTTTCCTTTCGTCTGCGGAGAGGCTTTTTCCAAAAAGTTTGCAAACAACAGTGAATAGGCAGTATTTTGCGTTGGTCGGATTTACTACTGAATTCTGACTAATTGAATGATGATGGTTCGCTTTACGTTGCTTCCGCAGTGCTGTTGTTGGTCGATAAGCCACTTTTGGGCGGAAAGTAAGTGAATGATAAATTGCGTGGTCACGTGACCGGAAGCCGTCGGAAGCGCAAGGATTCAAGTGTTTCTTTCGGCACCTTCGTAAACGAGATTCTGCTTTTAAGGAGCGATTTTTTGCCCGTACACAATGTAGACTTTTCCTTCATATGTAAATTGTAAACATACGCATTGAAACTTGCTCGATGTCATGAATAAATAATAATTCGAAATGGCGTGCGTGCGGTTTAACTCGTTTGCCACCGATCGTGAACATCAAAGCGTAGTATCCGTTGACGGATGGATGCTCGCAAATCGAAACGGTTGATGCGTAGCAGGCGGTGCCCTACAGGCGATCAATCGCTGTTGTGACGTATGTGCACGTATTTTTCAATTCAAGAATTTGCTTAGTTATTTCTTTGGTTGAAAGCTGTAAACCTATATCGGTGCTAACATTATTGTGCGCCTTCCAGGGCATTGCGTTTTTTCGTAATTCCTAGTGGGATGGATCCATAAAATAAAACACCAAAGTAAAGGGTTATAGTGTTCGGGGTGATATTTCTGTCAGCTTGTCCCGCCAACCGTATAGTCTGTAGTGGTGGCATGACACGAGTAGCACCATAATGTTTATGAAAATGTGACCGCCTGGGCAATAAAGTTTCGTGTTAGAATTCGCGCGATTCGTGAGCAAAATCTGAATGCTCACCTGTTTTATTCCGTTTTTATTTGCATATTTTCCGATAGATATGAAGTTTGCTTGAAAGAAAAGAATTTCAACGGGTTCGATCAAACAGAAAGAGTACTTGTTTGTTTGATGACAGTTGTGCCTTACATTTGATTATGAGATCTATCGAAGGGTTGACGGCGCTATGCCATGATTAATGGCATTACTTCAGATCCTATATAAATCATCCGCAAAAAGTAGCTTGGCCTGAATTCAAAAAGATTGACAAGATTTCTTGTATAGCTACGTAGAAATAATAATCGTTATAGGTAGATGGGCCTCCCTTAGCTCAGTCGGTGAAGGCGCAGTTACAAAGCAAAACCGTGCTGGAGGTGGCTGGGTTCGATTCTCGGTCCGGTCTAGGAATTTTTCAGGTTGGAAAATTTCTCGACTTCCCTGGGCATAGAGTATGATTGTACTACCACACAATTATACTAATTCGAAAATGGCGTCAAAAGTCAATTAATAATTGTGGAAGTGCATCTGTTACACTAAGTTGAGAGCACACAATAAACTAAAACGATTAAGCGAACTGCGAAGAAGAATAAGAAGAAAAAGTATATGGGTCACATTGCACAGTTGTTTCGATTGGCAGCAGGCTCCTCCTTACTTAGTTGCTAGAATTTAAGGGGCAGTGCATATTTCTCGTTGAAATGTAACATTATTTTAATCAACTTTCATTATTTCAGTTTATTTCAACTAGTTATTAAGTTGAATTATTGTTTCCAATTCCCGGACATTTCTTGGTACCCAGAAATCGGGAAATAGTTGATTGCTAATTCTGGGGATTTCTTGGAAATTGAGAAATATGTTTATCCAATTATAATATAATATAATTATAGTATAATTTTCAACAATTATGTATTAGAATAAGAGCTAATGAAGTTTAAAACACATTTCAATATATTTTTATGTTTGTTTTTTTTACCCGGATGGTTTGTACGATTTCCATCTGGATGTTTCCCCTGATTCACTTATTTTTTTATAATCCATTTATTTGTCAAGGCTCAAATGCGTTAGCTTTGCGGAGCCGAATATTTTTTACATGATTGTGTGTGAATATCATTTTCTTACTATTAATGTTAGTAGAACGGGGGCCGATTACTCGCGGTTTACTCGAGATTAGGGATTACATTTATTTATCATTTGGAGGGAGGACAAGGGAAAGCATTTTGAACTAATTTAAGAATTAACCGTAAAGGATGGCTAAAACACAAAACATTAAACACATACATCAACAGCTTAAAGAAAGTCGTAAATAAGCTTCATAAAGTCGATATCACGGCAAGCCAAGACGTGTCTAATTGGCTTAAAGGGTTGTTTTCCTTGGACCCTAAGAGAATCACACAGAACGGATCTCATGATGCAAGGAGCAGGACCAAACAACATGCTCGATGTCGTGATAGCCGTTTCCACAGGTACATAAGTTGCTGTCGGCGAGCGTAATACGGAAGAGGTGGGCGTTTACCGAACAGTGATTGGACGAGCCTGGACATGACACGAATGAACCAGGGTTTGATCGACACCTGTGGGACAATAGAATGTAGCCATCTTCCCAGATCACCATCATTCCACTTTTGTTGCCAGTTGGCGAGGACTTGCTGACGAGAAATCGTGAAAAATTCGAGGTAGGCGATTTGTCGCTCGTAAATATCGCCTTCCATAGCGCCCACCTTGGCCAGCGAGTCCGCTTTCTCATTGCCCGGGATAGAGCAATGAGAAGGGACCCATACCCAGGGTGATGATATGCGAGCTGATTCACTTATGTTTCTCCCGGAAGATTTTTACAACATCATCCAGAAGTTTCTTTACCCTTCAAGATTATGACCGGCTTCTTCGGAAGTATTCTTATGATTTCGCTCAGAAGTTTCGCCCAACATCTACCGGATTTTTTTTTCCAACTTACCCTGGAAGAATCTTCCATCTTTTCCCGAAAGTTTCTTCCAACTTTCTCCGGAAATTCGTTCGTTCAACGCATGTTTCATCAAGCTTTCCATTCCAACAGTATCTCCTGACTTCCCTCAGAATTCCTACTGGCTTCTTGTGGGACCAGCAAATATTTTCCATTTCACCCGGAAGTTCGTTCTAAGTAGCTCCAAGCCAACGGCAAATCGCGACCATCTTCGATTTGCATAAATCTTTGCATAGTAGTGTGTTATGAGTAATCATTCACATTTTTGCCAAAAATCGCCCTTTTTGGATCTTGCATTTTTTTTTCGAAATGGTGTCTTTGTCATTTTTCAATTGAACTTCTGATTGAAAAAACGTTTTGTAATGTTTTTACATCCAAGAGGATGCACTTCAATCATGTCGGTTGGCATTGGTTGTCAGAATAAGTTTATTTGTTTGCATCATGGCTTCATCGGAGCAAACACGTTACGATTTGATCTTGCACGCTCGAAACAAAAATCTCGGTCTATCCGCTTCTGGCAATTTTCGATTAAATTTGTGGGCAAGAATTATATAGCTCGGATGACCGGAAGAGCTCCCCGGAAGAATGTAAAAAAAAAATTTTTGGAATTCCCCAAAAATTTCCTTGTCTGGCAAGAAATCTGCAGTTGTGGGCTGAAAAGCTAAACTTTTGTTACTTCTGGGACCATGAATCAGCAAATTTACCAGAAGGAGTGCCTACGGAAGAGACTTATACCTTTTCTGAGGTGGATTGCGGTATTCTGACCGGACTTGGCAAGCGTTTTTAGATTAGATGCCACTATTCAAATTCCACCAAACAGTGGTACAGCGAGAATGGCGTCACAGTGGTTCCTAAGGAGAAGAATCCGGCCAAATCTCCGGAACTAAGCCCAATTGAGAAATACTGGTCAATTGTGAAGAACATACTGAAGAAAAAGGGTGGAACTGCAAGTGACCTGAAGGATTTCAAGCGGACATTTATTTTGGTAGCCAAACATGTGGGGCAGGGCCCGTGCAAAAGATGATGGGCCATGTACGATAAAAAGTTCGAGCAATGGCCTATGGTAAGAAAGAAGACTGTAACAATGGTCTTATAGTAAGCATATTAACTACTAATGTATAGCTTTTACATTGAAATTTGAAAAATAAAACGCAGTTTTAAACCCCAACAAGATTTTCGTGTGCGGATTTACAACCATTTAATCAAATCTGTGAAAACGAATTCTCACATGCCCATCATTTGAAGAGCCCCTTTTTCATTCGAACCTCATCGTCTCTGTCAAATGAGTTACATTTGATATACGACAGTAGAGTATGGAATAAACCCAGAAAAATGGTCCCGAACAGACAAGTCGACCCGATGTTGGATAAATGTAAGGCTAATTTAAGGTCAATGTCGACAAAATGTCGGGTTTATGTCGGGTCAACTTTGGGCTTATGTCAGATCAATGTCGGGTCAACATCGGGTTGGGGTTTGGTAAAAGTCAGGTTGGTGTCGGGTTGGCTTAGCTTTTTCGCCGGAATGTCGACCCGAAATCCGTTTATGTGTAGGTTACACTCAATTGAATGCTATCAAGCGTTTCTCAAATGACAATGATCCATGCCTTAATTTTGTTTCTTTGATTTGTTTTACGTCGATCTTGTTTTCCGTACTGAGTACCAATTTTACTGACGCCAGGGAGGTAGCTCCCACACCTGGACCCTACCTATCGACCCATCACATCAACTCATGAACCGGGGAC